CGCCGATGTCGATCCTCCCACAACACGACCCACTCAATGATGCCTCACCAGCCAATCTGTATCTGTCTTGTCGCGTCTATATAAGCTATGCAACTCGTCCATATTGCGAGGTGCTTCCGGAATTGGTTGAAAACAACCAAACTGCCGGAGCACGCGATCAGTGGAGTGACACTCGACGGTCGCATAACAGATCAGATGGACCGTCGCCATCCAAACATCTGATGAACCCCTCAACTCAGGTGGGATCACCACCCTCACATCATCAGTAGAATATGGCACCCATTCAAACTAAAACAAATAATATATAATTTTTATCAAAATAATAATCTAATTATATAACTATAATCTAAAATCGATTTTTAAATATTAAAATTCATACATGTATGCCAGCCTTCTGATCGATTAGCACCCTAATTTTTTTCTAAATCATCAGGTAGCTCCTGATGATTTTTTCTATCAGTAGATCATCTATTCAAGGAAAAAAAATTTATTATACGCTGTATAAAATTATTATATACAAAATCAGTTTTATAATTACCTCAAAAGTAGTGGAAATACGAATGAGTTATTCACAACGGGACATAAAAAGGGTAATCGATACCATGGCCAAGACTGCAGCAGCAGGAGACATCCGCCGATAGCATTACGCCTGTAGTCAGTGGCTCCACACATCTCCCTGTACAGCAAAGCAAAACTGTCGAGCCGCAACTGAATGATCCGGCGAGACGAAAGTCATTAAGATGTCGTAACCACATGCAGTGAACTAGGTTGCGCGATTTGTCTTGCATCAGCAACCCTCCTATCAGCTGCAGTATGCATGCCCATGCATACATCTTAACCTCATCCTCAGAGGCGTCTGCGCTCAACTCCCGAAAATTGGCATCTAACCAATTTAACGGTATCCTACCTCCGTTAAAATTTTCTGGGACACGTCCTAGACTATCCCGACACAAAGTAGTCCAAGAACCGGAAGCTATCCCCGATATCACATCTCCATCCACCGGAAGCCCCAGGTGCATAGAAACATTCTCAAACGTGATCGTGCACTCTCCGCACGGAAGATGGAATGTGTGGGTCTCCGGCCTCCACCGCTCTACTAAGGCAGAAATTAGGTTTGGCTCTATCTTACAGCGACCCTGATATCTACCTATGTAACCGAATCCAGCCTCTACTAAATACGACAAGACACGACTGAGTATCACTAACTTAAGATTCCTAATAAAAAGATCTAATACACGCTCATTTTCCTAAAAATAAATAATTACAAAAATTAATTCTTAATCTAATAATCATGCATTAAATAAATCAACTAATTATTACTAATAATTTAAATTAAATTAAAACGTTAAAATGTTATCGTATCAGCAAAGTGTAGAGATATTTAATTCTTAATCTAATAATCATGCATTAAATAAATCAACTAAATATTACTAATAATTTAAATTAAATTAAAATGTTACCGTATCAGCAAAGTGTAAAGATATATGATTTTCATCCGAACGAAGTAGACTGTCTTCCATTATATATCTACAAAAGAATTATATTAATAAAATATTAAATAAAGTAAAATATTTAAATAAATTATATACATAATAATAAAAATATTATAAAATATACCTTAAAAAGGAAGATTATTTTATATGATAAAAGTGATTGAGGATGAGGGTATTTATTAGGGGTATAGTGCGCGCCCTGCACCGCGCTATACCCTACAGTCAGATACCTAGGTATAGCGTGGATCAGAGGACACGCTATACCCATGTGGCGTCAAATCACAGTATATCGCGGTACAGGAGGCGCGTTATACCCACGTGACGCCAAATCAACGTATAGTACGGTTCAGGGAACGTGCTTTACTTCTATGGGTGTTAGATCAAAAAATATAATCTGACCGATGTTAGATCAATATATCGATCACCGATAATTTATTAGGAAAAAACGTCCAAAACCCAATGGAAGTTAAAAGGGGGTCCAGTGTTTGGATGCGTAGTTGTAAAGTTTTATTTACTGCCTGCTGTTTATATGTGTATATATATATATATATATATATATATATATATATATATATATATATATGATTGTCGTTTTGCCATTCAACGACTGAACTGTGAGGCAATCAACATCCAACGGACCTAATTTATTTGGGTCACTGTACCTCAGGCTACTTATGGTCAACCACATTTACACGTGGAAGCCCAGGCTTCACTCCTTCATGTTCCTCTGTTCGTTAAGTTCTTATACATTATTTGTTTATTAATTACTGTCTAATATTAATCTAATTATCATTCACCATTATTAGAAATATAATCGGAATAAATTTATAAATAAATCATATGTTGTTGATGGAAATAATTTGTTTTTTCAACCGATTATAGTTTATTCTTTTTAATTTTAATAAAATAAATAAATTAACGGTGAATGTATCATTGAATAATACTTCTTTATGAGATAGATGAAAATATAAGGGAAAAGACGAAATAAAAATGAAGAAGAAGAAAATGGAGAGATCCCTCATCAGATTTGTTTGATGGATTGTTATGCTTATCTTTTGACGAACAAACCTTAGTCATCATGTTTGTTAGTAGGCTGATACATTATATATATACGATTTCAACCATCATATTTAACTTTGTTAAAGTTCACATTAAAAATTGAAGAGTATGAACTTCATATAGTAATTGTATTAGAGGAATGGAGAACCATCTAGAGACACTGGTAAAAGGTCGGAATCTTTTTAAGATCTCTATTATCGGAGATTTGATCATTTTTTAAGGATATTATCCGGAAGTATAAGAATTAAAAGTAGTATTTTTTTAATTGTTAAAGTTTTTTAGAGATTTTAATGATATCAATTTTATGTTGTTATATCATCAAAAGTTAATATCATTAATAAAGATTCTAAAACAATAAATGAAATTAAAGTTAAAGTACCAGTTTGAAAGTAAAATTTTTAGAGATAATAACTTAAAGAAAATACTTAATTTAAGTATTAACTCGAAAGCATTTAGTTAAATATGAACTTCGGTGAAGTATCTAATCCAAATGCTAAATATATATTTAGTCATCATGTTGTTAGTAGGCTGATACATTATATATATACATTTCAACCATCATATTTAACTTTGTTAAAGTCACATTAAAAATTGAAGAGTATGAACTTCATATTAATTGTATTAGAGGAATGGAGACCATCTAGAGACACTGGTAAAAGGTCGGAATCTTTTAAGATCTCGGAGATTTGATCATTTTTTAAGGATATTATCCGGAAGTATAAGAATTAAAGTAGTTTTTTTAATTGTTAAAGTTTTTTAGAGATTTTAATGATATCAATTTTATGTTGTTATATCATCAAAAGTTAATATCATTAATAAAGATTCTAAAACAATAAATGAAATTAAAGTTGAAGTACCAGTTTGAAAGTAAAATTTTTAGAGATAATAACTTAAAGAAAATACTTAATTTAAGTATTAACTCGAAAGCATTTAGTTAAATATGAACTTCGGTGAAGTATCTAATCCAAATGCTAAATATATATTTAGGAAAAGAATAATTGTTTTATGGCTTTATATAAAGATAAACACAAAGATATACACAATTAGAGATCATTGTATTAATACTGTTTTTTTTTTCAATTAGGTCCTTGTTTTACCTATAAAAAGAAATATATATTCAAATAAGATAGGATATTGGTTTAACCTTAAAAATCGAGTCGGATGAAATCCTTCTAAACTCGACTCTTGTGTAGGTGAAGGATTTCAATTTTCAGATCAGATTTGATTAGATCAAAAATTTGATCCAATCGAATCCTTTATCATATATATTAAGGTGCAGTTGTGTTCTTATTACAAATTCAGATCGGATTCCTCTTAAGTGATACTATTATTGATGCAACGATTGTAGGATTATTTAGTTTTGTAGATAGAAAACACATGCCATTGCCTCCCACCCAATTTTGTGACTAAGCACCAAACAGTTGTTGTTCTTCCTAGAAACTACATAGAATATATTGTTTCCTATTATTGTTTGCAAGATTTGGAAGAGTAGGTGCATGGTTCTTCAAACAGATTATATTGAGCGTGAAGATTTAGTGGCTCAAAGTGCGAGGTTATATAATGAGATTATGACGACTAATGAAGCTAATATAGTCAATATAAAAAATGTAGTTCAACCTGCAAATAGATGGAAGAAGCCAACTCGGGACTGGGTGAAGGCTAACACTGATGGTGTGGTGGGAGGCGTGACAAACATGGCTGCTGTGGGGGTGTTTCTCGACTCTTTTGGTAAGTGAATTTTTGGTTTCTCTCGGAGTTAGGCATTTGCTTAGTTTTGAATGTGGAACTTTGAGTGATTCACGATGCTTATGGTCCATGCTTGGAGCTTGGGAATTAGAAGATTAATAGAGGAGACCGACTGTGCGATGACGATGAACATTCTTAATGGACCGACTGAGGAGGTTAATGGCAACACCATTGTTATTCTGATATGTGAGCTTACTGAATAGAGAATGAGATTCGACTGTTTATCACATTAAAGAGAAGCTAATATGGTGACGGATAAGGTTGCTGCAATGGCTAGGGAATGCCCGGTAGAAATGTTTCTTCACCATAAAATTCCTAGTGAAGCGGCTTGCCTTAGTTGCAAGGGACCAAAGCTCAATGAGCTAGTTATGTTTGTTTCTGTATTGGGGTGGGGGGGGGGGAACATGGCATAAAGTTGAATATCCATGCCCATGGGCCCAATCTCGTAATGGCTTGTCTAAAGCTAGGCTATTGGACCATAATTTTGCACCAGACAAATGAATAATAATGTGGGTTTGAGCTCATGCAAAATCAGGTTGGTTGAATTTAGAGCTTGTGCGAGCAAAGCAACACAATATATTTCGACCTGAAGTTGAATTGAACTAAAAATAAATGCTTTTGCTTTGCAACCAATTGTTGCTAGTATGTAGGCAGTCTGGCTGATGGGCATTTAGTTTGGTTTTTCAAGCTAATCTTCAACGTCTACCATTGTGATCTCCGCCAACATTAACAATAGCAAAGCTTTCAGCTTATTTGATATAGAACAATAAATCATACATTTGGCATGCACAGTCTGCGCCTTGCTCCTCCCGCTAATTCCAACTCGTCCTTCACAATGTCCGCTGCCTCTACCGCTCTCCCTTCTTCCTTTTCTTCGTTTCACTCCAATGGACCTCTTCCTTCTCGATGCTTCCGCTTCAACAACCCTTGTCGATCCAGGGTTTTCATGAGCGTCTCCGTTGGTTCCCAAAATGTTGTAGACGACACCTTGTTTGCTGATTACAGGCCCACCTCCGCCTTCCTCTTTCCCGGCCAGGTTAGTTCTGTATTCCATCAGTGCTCTACAACTTCAAGCTCTACTGACTACTAAGCTAAATCTATTTATTCCCATGTTAAAGCTTTTACTTGGATGAATCTGTTTTGTATTTGTTCAAATGTATAAAATTAAAATTTCAGGGTGCTCAAGCAGTTGGAATGGTAAAAGAAGGGCAGAATGTGCCAGCTGCTGCAGAATTGTACAAGAAGGCAAATAATATATCAGGGTACACAGAAATTTGATGGTCAAATACTACACTCAACTTGCGATTTAGTGCTTATACTTAATTTGTGATAATTTAGTCCTCTTTACTTTTATCAATGATATGCTTTAGTCCTCTTATTAGGAAGAAGACTCTGAATTTCCTTTGTTGTTATGAATTTCCAATCTATATTTTACTAATTCAGAGATTTTACTGGGATGTTTTGCCTGAAATTAGAAAAGCAAACTGCATTGAAATTTAACCAAAATCTAGGCAATCAAACTCAAATGACCGACAACACCTATTGTCTCAAAACGGGATTCAAATTGAAATATCCAACAAGCATGATTTTTGTATTTTTAAACAACTTGGAAATTCATAAACCAAAACCTGATTAGTTTCTAAACAGTACTGGAAGGGCGCTGCGGTTGCCTCAAACTCCGAAGCTGATCGATCCACTGATCCTCAGGAATTTGATTGGCCCAATCAGGAGTCAATCCAGCAAAAGAAACCCCACGCATCGCTTCCCTGACTCTCATAGCGTTCTCTGGCGTTAACGGCGCGTTTCTGCGGCTCTCCTCTTCACTAAACACCCTCCTTATCGCCGTATCCGACGCCTCACTCCTCCTCTCTTCTTCTTCTTCTTCGTCTCGCTCCGTAGCAACGCCGCCTACATGGAGAGATGAGATTCCGTTTTCCACTCGATTGATATAGCCATTAGATAGGTTACGATGGCGGTGTTCTTCATCTGAATTGACTTGATCATCCAAATCTTCTTGATCCACATCGTCGTCATCGTCCACCGCTGAGATAGGCTGGTAGTATTCAGGCGCGTCTTCGTGATTCGTATCGGAGTCGCTGCCACTGCCATTGCTACTCTCTGCAATTTTTTGTGCGCATAGGTAAGAAACCGTTTTGAATATTGGGAAATTTACACGACATTAAAAAAAATTGTGCAAACAAATTAATATAATACCTTCGATAAGATCGATTGGAGAGGCGGACATGGCGTTCATTGTTAGTTGTGAAGCAAATACAGAGATCCAGATTAGAAAAGATAGGTGCTCAATAAAAAGCAATTTTTTTGGTTTAATGCAAAAATAAGTAGTTAAACTATGTCTTTCTTTTAACTTTAGGTTTTAAAAAATCTTTTAAAATAAGTGTCTAATACTTTTAACATTACAAATTTAGACGTCTATATCTTATGGGATTGTCTATAACTTTAGGTTTTAAAAAATCTTTTAAAATAAGTGTCTAATACTTTTAACATTACAAATTTAGACGTCTATTTTATTATATAAGCGCTACCTATTACATTATATAAGCGCTACCTAATATGTTATTGTGCTTGATAATATTTCCGGTTAAATGATATAACATAACGATCTAAATTTTAACCCGTCACTTCTTTAATCGGTCACGCCGTTTTTTAGGCGCCGCACAGCAGAAGTACCCTATATCTTATAGTTGTTGATTTATTGAATCTTTTAGCTATTAAAAGTTATAAAATGATCAATGAGCTATTCATGCTTTCTAAATTTATCATTTTTTGTTAAAAATTAACGATTATCTAAGTTAAATGTTGACTACATATGATAAAATTTAATCTAAAAGTTGTTTAACTTGTATTTTATAGATCAATTATTCATTTATATTATGTCGTTGAGTAGTACTTAAAAAATTATATCTTTAAATCAATATTTGAAAGCAACAACGATATTAAATAAACATCATTAAAATATAATTTTATTATATATTAATTAGCATATTAACGTCCAACTCATATAATCGTCCATTTTTTACGAAAAAGAAAAAGTTTGGAACATATAAAAGTATAATGATCAATTTATAACTTTTAATAGTGGAAAAACTCAACAAAATAACACATTGTAGTTGAAAAGTTATTCTGTAAACTTTAATAGTTAGATGGCTTAATAAAGTAACATCATATAACTAGAAACCATTTGTGTACTTTACCCTCAAATTTATGGGTAAATTACACATTTGATAATTAAACTTTATTCTGTAACACCCCCAACCCGTACTAGACCTAGATACGAATCTGAGGTGTCACATTGACTTTTTAAAACTTTGACTTGTTGAAAACTTATTGAAAATTTTAAAACTTTTATTTATTTTCAAGTGGTGAAACCCGTAAATCAAGTTACTATTGGAAATATAAACTCGCATTGAAATTAAATACTTAATAATTTACATAAATATAAAATAATATGATTATAAAATGGATCAGAGTATTTCAATTTAAACATTTTAATACGTGCCAACAATTTACATCATAACAAGAAAGCCTACATTTTAAATTGTTTTGATCTGATCTTCCTTCCTTGTATGTTGTCCCTTCTTAGCCTTACTCTTATTCTCTCATTGAACCTACGTGTGAAACAATCACACGTTAAGTCGTTGACTTAGTGAGGCAAGTACGAGTAGAATAAAACATTGTAAAATATTTTCTTATTATCTCACAGAAAATATTTCATAAAGAATTCCATTTACATTCCTAACAAGAATGTAAACTTTTGCACATTGTTCGGTTTATATCACTTTGTTTTTAATAACCCAATGCATACTACTGAAAACTCTAGGTATTTGAGTACATTGAGGTTTTGCACTAATGCAATCACCACTGCTCACATAATTTGCACCGAAATGCCACATATTTGTCTCGAAGGACCACATAGGTTTGTCCCGAAGGACAACATAGAACCCTCGACTCTTGGCATGCCAACTATACCTTTAATCCCATACATATACCTTACGCTTTAACCATATAATTATTTATCATTTCATTATTCAAAGTGTCTTATTCACATAGAGTACATTCTCATAGAGCATTTTCATATAAGCATATTCACATATCGCATGTTTACACTCATGTACATATAACAATCAAAACGTAAAACGTAGCTTTAAAAATATAACTTGAATAAAGAATTATAAAAATATTGCATAAAAGAAATAAAACAGTTTTCGATCGAAAACTCTGAGGTTGGTTTATCGTAAGCCGCCCTCAAATCTAATATAAAACAAATGAATTGCACTCACATTTGCCTCACGTAAGTTCTATAAGAAATCCTTTCAACTATCGTCCAGTTGTTTACTATATCGCTTCGATCGGTACACTTTCGATCCAAATCTACACATCAATAGGATTAAGATCAATATCCACCTTCCATTAATGAATAATCACTCAACACTTACAAAAACGAAATGAAACACTTAATCCAATATTTCAGGCTGAATAGTATCTGTATTCCTACTATGATACCGATACTTCCATTCTATGGTACCAATACCCACTTCGGTATCGATACCATATTGGCATTATGGAATTTCATTACTACTTATAGTATCGATACCTTTCCTTTGGTATCGATACCCACATCAGTATCGATACTACTTCAATCAATATCGATATTGTTCATCTGATTCATACCATTTTCCTTCAAATTACCCTTATAGTATCGATATTGTTATTTCAATACCGATACCCTTACCCAGATTTCATTTATTATCTTCGAATTTTACTCACAACACCCTTAAATATCTCACCCTTAACTCTATTGAAGTCCTTAAACTCAATAGTATTTATTCCACCCAACTTATGTCCATTAATTCCTCCTTTAACTTCCCAAATTCTCCGTAAAATACTTTAAGCTAAAGATCATACCCATCACTCAAACATGTTCTTAATCCTATCTAACTCTTTAAATTCCTTAATTATAACATTGACAAATCAAATATGTCATTAAGAATCCAAATACTAATCATTGTTATTAAATCCCTTAAAAACATTTTACTAATTCATTCTTAACTCCTTAAATCCCTTAACTCCTTAATTTTACTAATTCACTCTTAACTCCTTAATTAATTCTCATTAATTCATATGTTCCAAACTTGTACTTTTTTCGTTAAAAAATTGATGAAATCTAAGTTGGACATTAACTATTTGACTAAGATATGATAGTTGTTGAGATTTTAGGATCATATTTTATTATATCACAGTTCTTAGATTAATGTCCAGCTCAAACTATCGTCAATATTTTAACAGAAAATAACGAGTTTAGAATATATGAATAGTCGGTGATGAATTTGTAACTTTTAATAGTTAAGGGACTCAACAAAGCAATGTCCTATAATCAAGGGACCATTTTGTAACTTTTAATAGTCGAGAACTCAATAAAGCAACACCTTATAGTTGATAGACCATTTATGTATTTTACCCAATTATTATATGCAAATTGTCGGAACCGTCTTTCGGTTGGGCCTCGGAATTGGCTTCGACTTGAAAAATGTGGATTGGAGTCGCCACCGACCACTTTAAAACAAATTTAGGTGGGTCAGACACCATCTTACCTGATCTGCGTTGTACCATAAACGTGTCGGGTTCGGGAGTCGGTTACGGCCAAAGAAGGATTAGCACCCTTGAACTGCCCTTTCGGTACCAATTAATTTACCAGTTGTCTTAGTTGCGAAAATTTAAATTAGAATTAAAATACTCGATTCAAATCATTTACCTTTAACTAGTTAAAATTGTCCTAAAAACAAAGTAAAAAATGTTAGATAAAATAATACTAAATAAATTGAAGAGAAAAATAAATAAATTAAGAGAACAAATGTTAAAAGTGTGTAATATAATATACACTTAATAAATACTCAAATGCATGGCCATAAATGGATGCACATCTCCACGTGCATTTTAAAAACTTACTCCCCCATGTCAGTCTGATGCCATCGTTAATAATTCCACGCTGAGAAGGATAACCATCACTTGCTCCATAACCTCGATATGAAAGCATGAAGACATTACATTGTAACCTCTGTAGCATTATACGAACCATTTCCAGACGGTGAGCAATGTTTCTAGCATTCTCTTGAAAAAAAATAGGATGGTTGGACCTCGGCAATCAGGAAAGAGCTTGATGAACCAAGAATGGAGTTTGATTCCGTCGGAGGACCGGAGCCAAACGTCCTCGTAGGTGAGCCGGAGTCGGGCCGACGTTATCGGCCAAGACTTGGTTAGACCAGGCAAAACCAAGAACGTAAACGATCTTCTCTTGAAACACCACCAGCAACGCCATCTCAGATCTTTATTATTTAGTATGTGTTTTCTTGTTTTCATCTTCTGATCCATAATCAACTTGTTTGTCAGATTTGGAATCAAAGGTCTCATCTTGCTGAACTGTAGCAGATCTTTGTTTCTCTTGAAATCAACTTGTCCTGAGGTGTTTTCTTGTTGCACGCAATACCTCAAGTAAATCGATCATAACACATACAAACAATTGAACTTTTCTTAAAAGAGAGATTAAGCTCTGCAATCTTTGGATTAGGAACATCACATATAGACCGGTGTTCGGTGCACAACCTTGTGATTAGCATGGATCCATAGCAGTAAGCTAGTTAAGATAATGAACTATTAATATTTCCCTTGTACAACATCAAATTAATGGCAAGTTAAGAGAGGATTTCGTGATATATACACATAGAGAAACCATAACCAATAGACAGAGTAATTGTATGAATTGAAAGAGAGAACAATTAAACACGAAAAAAATTGAACTTTACAATTGAGGAAAATGCAAGGGTGGAACTTGGGATAATCATCATCTTGGTCAACATCACATTCATAGATATAATAAGGGAGTGTTCCATTTGAAGAAGGCTTGCATTTTCCCTTTCCACATCCCACTTCTTTGCATACATCATCTGCAACAAGAACAAATACTCAGGTTAACAGAACACCCAAAGATCCCAAAACAAATCAACCAACAACGAAAGATGAAGAAAAGAGAAAGTGAAAAAGCCAAGATGTGTTCCGAAAGAGGGGATAAAAATTCGGTTTTTAGCAATGTTGAGGTGTCGAGCCCCCATTTTCCATTTCATTCCCCCCATGCTTTCCTCTCCGATTTCGTCGAATGAATCCGGTATGAAACCCCTGATCCTTTTTCTTTCCTTTTCTTCTCTCTTGCTTGCCTTTAAATAGCCTAGTGATTGGTTATTTTTAGAGACGTTTTAGTGTCCCACTTGGACTCAAATGCCTCAGTTTTTAGTGTTTCAA